AAAGATTCATATTATGTCACAGTGATGTCACAGTGTCAGCATCACTTAAGACTTATAACTTGTTTTCTGAGCAGTTTGCAGCCCATTGCTGTAGTAACATGTTGAATTAAGAAATAATTTTAAAATCATTTGGACCTGTAAACAGCATTATGGCTTTTTGGTTTTGTGACAGAGCTAACATTTTGTCCTAAAATAAGGGAAATTATATAGGAAAAACATTTGCATTGAACTTTAAATAGTTCTTGTTGTATCCAAATCCCTTTTTCATTTAAAAAAAAAAAATAAATAATCTGCATCCAAAGAACTGCTCAGGAAACAGCTGGAGTGAGAATGATTTGAAAATTTTTAACATCTTGAGTAAACAAGGTGATAGGAAACCAGATGTTACCACAGTCATAAGAGATGTGCCAGTATTTCAAGTGACTTGTATGCTCAGTGACTATCTTGCCTTCTTTCGCTTTGTCTTGGACTATAAACCTTGTTACTTGTTGTGTCTGTTGTTGTTTTAAGCCCTTCCTCAAGGGACTTTCAATTTAAGCATGACAGACATTCCTCTTGCCAATAGGAAGGGAATGGAAGTAACTTTCTAAATGGGGGAGTTGCACCATTAGCGTCTTCTATTTAGTATACGCTGGAGTAACTTTTCATATTAGTGTTTTCTCTGGTACTTACGCTCCCACATTCACTGCCTTTTTAAAAAATTTAAAATTCTGTTTCTCTAAAGTAAAAAAAACTTACTGAATGTTAAAATGCTGATACTCACACTCCCTAAGATTTACTGGTAAAATGGCTTGAATAGCTTTCACGACCTGCTACCAGTCTTCATATTGAAAGTAAATTAGAACTCTGCTGCTGAAAAGTATGGGGATTTATGTTTTGGTAACAAAATTGTATACAATACACATACCTGGCTTAATTCTCCGAGTTCTGATTAGGTGAAATGTACTTTAGTCCCAAAGGTTACTTAAGTAATAAATAAATTATGTTTAAAAATCAGTCTTTAGCAGCTGCGTGTTTGGTTAAGGAATACAAAATTCGGAATCACATATAGTGACTGAGTTTATTAACATGTGATTCTCTTATGCAGGACACTGGAAAGATAGAGATATTTCTCTCCACCCCCTGATTATTTTTAGTGATTCATTAAACTTTTCCATGTGCTGAGATAAAAATAAACTATGATGTGACTGCTTTTCTCCTATTTTTTAATTATAAAATAGCAGAGACTATAAGATCAGATAGAGCTTATCTAGTTCCTATTTCTACTTTTATCCTTTTAATTGAAATGAAGCGTGGGGTTTGTTTGGTTGTTCATCTTTTTCCTGACAACAACTTTGAGTGAAACTTTATGGATAAAGTATATGGAAGTTTTACTCCCTCCCCTACCAGTTGATAGTCTGCTGTGTATAGTTAGGAAAATATTAAACGTTTGTCGTTGTACTCTTGTGTCTTTATCTGCTCTATGAAGGTGGAAATCAGAGAAGCCATTAAAAATGACACGAAGTGCACTTCATGAGGAAGGCTCAGTATTTTAAACCATTTGGACTGAGTGTAGCATGATAAATGATCCAGAGGAGTTTTCCCGTCATGCTTGTTTATGTCTTCAAAGCATAAATCTAGATTCACTGGAAAAGACATTTGCATTTTCTGCAGCAGTTCTCCAAACCTGGAGGAAAATGTGATTACATGGTAGTTTGGACAGAAAAGACAGGGAATGTGTGTTATCTTTCATTAGACAAGGAGTTGCAAGCATCACTGAAGATGCAAATCTTTAGCAGGTTTCATTATGTTTGGGAGCTGGTAAGTTAGAGCTGGTAACTTACTGGTTTTTGGGGAGGGAGGGAATGTGACATCAACCTGTCTAAGTGTGCTAACAGGATTTTCTCTTTTCTATTTTTTTGGAGAGGAGAAGGAAAAAAACAAAGGATTTTTAACACTTTGAGAATGTTTGTGTGTGTCATAAGTAGTGAAATAGTAAGTTAAAATTGTACTGTGATATTTGGCTGTTTGTGCTTACGTGAAGTCTTTAATGTTCAACATGTTCTGATCTAGAAAACAGGCAGAAAATCAGTTATTAAATGATGAATGCATGCAAAAATTTGTTATTTTTGAGAAGCTTTTATTTGCAACCTATATGTTTATTTAGATCAGTATATGGTAGTGAAAGGATAGTTCCGTCATCTTTTGGAACTGATTAGTTTTGCACTGATCTTCTGCCAGTGAATAAGTAAAAATCGAGATTTAACATTTCAAATTTAGTTAATCTATTCAGATTGGTAATAATTGAAAACAGTGTGAGTAGTTTTGTGGAATTTGGTGCTGTGCAGGCCCGCGAGTGTAAAGGGCCCATTTTGATATTTGTAACTACTTCACTGTCTTGTTTAGCTAAGCTTGCATTGGACCAAAGCATCTGCATGTGTAAGAGTAAACACTGTGTGTAGCAGAAAAGTTGAGTGCAGGCTGGACTGTTGTCTAGGGCTAATGGTATTGATTTTGAAGCTGACTTTTTTTTTTGGTATAGCCTCTTTTTCCCTATACATAGACAAATTCCTAAGGAGCAAAGTCTGAAACAGAGATTCACATACACACTTTTCACACAAAGCTGATATTTGCAATTTACAATAAGTACCTGTTGAAGATATGGGAGAGTGATGTTGTGAAATGTCCTGCATCTTCAGTATTTACCCTGTTTTTTTTTTCTTATGAAACTTAATTTTCAGTGATGTGTCTCTTCTGCCCTAGTTAAGGGGAAGAAGCTGTATGTTGCTAGTCTACTTTTGTATTTTACTTACAGTGAGATTAAATAATAGCATGTATATTATTTTGATCTCTGGACATAGCTTATGATAAATGATGTCATTCCCTGTGTGCTTTCATGCACCTCTAGTAGTGGGTAGCCTCCCACTCACTGAATACCTGAGCACCGTAGCTCCCTGGGAAAAGTCCATGCTGTTTCAGATGAGATATGAAAGCAAGTAATCAGCACATGTATTACTACTTAGTCTGCTGTACATTTGCTGGAGATGAAGCAGTTAACCCTTCTAAAACTTGTAAAGCTGTTATTAACTGTTATTACTTGTTATTAGATTGATTGAAATATATATTCCCTTGTCCTACTTCTAGCTTCGTATTCTTGTCAAAGATCATAAAGAAAAAAATACTTTTAAGTTCTTGTCGTCATTGTGAGCACCATGACCCCTTTAATTTGGAGACAACTGATAGCATCATCTTTATTTGATTACTTGTCTAAGTTCTGATCTGGCTCGCTTGTCAAGATAGCAGAGCTGAAGAAAATGCTAAACCGTGACTGGCTTTATACAGTTGTTTGCAACAGGCTGCAACTGCTTTTCAGTTTTGACTAACTCACGTTGTGCCTTTTCCTCTACCTTACTGTTCCGTTTTTGGAATGTATGTAAGACCATTTGAGCAGATGGTTGAAGCATCAGATGCTCTGTCAGTAATGTTTGCCCTCTACTTGGCCGTAGTGGTCACCAATACCTGAGCAAGAAATTCCCCTTGAGTGCAGGGGAAGTAAAAATCTTCAGCACTCTGATCTCCTAAAAATGCCTTCAAAAAAAAAAAAAAAATCAGGGGCTGAGAGTCATGGTTTAATTAATAAGTGTTGCAAGCAAAACATTATTCCTAAATATTTACTCTTTTTGACATTAATAGTGCCCATATTTTGAAGTTTTATTTGAAATGTGTTTTTCTTGTCTTGTTCCTTTGTATCCTAGGATTATTCCAGTGATGATACTAAACTAGAATACAATGTAGATGCAGCCAATGGTATTGTTATGGAAGGTTATCTATTTAAGCGAGCCAGCAATGCCTTCAAGACTTGGAACAGGTAATTATTCAGAACCTCTATTTACTAGCTTAAGATTCTGCTTGTTAAGCTAAATTCTGTTCTGACTTAACCTATGCAACTCACTGATTCCACAGTTTTGACAGAACGCTTGGACGACTCTGCTAATTAACAGAGATGATATTTCAAAGCTATTTTGCCTTATTTTCTGTCTTAGTTTGCAAGCCTTTTTCAAAGAGTGTGTATTAGTCTGGAGAAGTCGTATGTGTGGAAAGCTTGGTTTGTCATGCAGTCTGGCTCCGCAACTGCATTTTGGTCTTACTTTGGGCTGAAACAGCAATCCTTGTGATTCTATACAGTAAGCTATGTGAATGTATATGCTGGAAAAATAAGTGTCAGAGGACAAAGTAAAATGGAAGTTGTGTAGCCATTGGAAGCAGGCAAACACAGTGAAGGACTCAAGTACTCAAGTTTTTTTTTTCCTGAAAGATAAGCGTGTAATTGTTACCCTTTACAATTCCTGTCCTGTGCAGTGACTTCTGCATAGCAGTTTCAATGCTCCTGTTGGGAATTCAAAATATATTTAGTGATGTCTCTTTAACAATGTATATTTTACTATTGTTTAAATAATTTTCTCCATGAACAGGATTTCTTTTGCATTTCCAAGGATGTATGCTTTTTTCAAGGAAATACGACACATGCTGGAGCATTTACAGTGTAGTTGGATGCAGTTCTTGAATTTTTAAGTTAATTTGTTGTGATATAGAGCTCTCTTTAGTGTCTTATGTTCTTCAATTTTTGCAGCAGTGCTTCTATTTGCAGTCTTTCAAAGGCCAGAATGTGCATTTAGATATGTGGTCCCTTCTAACCTTAATTATTCTATAATTCCTTCAGCATCTTGGAACATCGCAAGTCTAGAACAAATTGGGATTCCTTTAAATCCGTGGACTGATGGAAGGGCCGCTGGTGTCAGTATCTGGATTAGCAAGTCGTGTGCAACTAGTATAAGGGATTTTGCTTTGGACTGCTACTCTGGTCCTGTGGTCTGATTATCTGTCTGTAATTGTAATGTGCCTTCTGGGTTAGTTTCATCCAAGCAGAATTCAGAGTTCTCCAAGACAAATCTGTAAGGCATCAAAGGGTGGTGAAGGGAGAAAACTTGGAGATGGGCCTCATGTTCCCGGTCTGAAGTAAAATGTTAATGTAAGCCCACAGAGAAAAATCTGCAGTAACAGGGCAGAAGATTGTCCTTTATTGGATTCTCAACAGGCTGAAAGGGTCCTTTTTGCAAGGAGTTTTGCAGGATTGACCGCAGCCCCTTGTTAAGTGACTAAAGGCAAAACTCTGACTTGCTCTCTGAGTTCTTCTTTTGGATAGCATAAAGGCCTTGCTCTGTAAGGAGGTAATGGGAGGGAGCAGGACAGGAGTGTTGAAGGTAGCTGAGAAATATTCTTCCTCCACATGGCTTAATACCTAGTAATGCTGTACATGTATCTTACCTTAAGGGGGTTAGGGAGTAGGATTAAATTAAAATTAACTTCTGTGTGCTGGGAATGTAAATGGATAAATGTGGGGAAATCATAATTAAATCAAGGTACACAGTGACATTCTTTCGGGTTAAGTTACAGGTTTGAACATATATAATAAAAACATATCCAAACAATAAGTTATTTAAGAGAGCCAAGGTAAACAGCTCAGTAATGAGTCAGAGCTACGTACTTTACGATGTAGTTTATATTTGCTTATAGTTTTTTCTTCTGTTTGTCACAGGAGTATTCAATAAAGATAAACCTTTAACCTTTTTCAGTCTTAGATTCTTGGTAATTTATCTTGCTGTGATAGGCTAGTTGAGGGCTGCAGGATTAGGCAGCAAGTGGCGCTGGATATGTTTTCTGTAAACACAGTTTAGAAATTGAATCATCATTTTAATTTTGTACTTCACATTCACAAACCATTACTAATTGTTATGAAACTACTACATATTATCGTATGGAAAATACACATTTAAGGCCTTAATGAAGATAACTATTAGTTTCTGAAGCTAGCCCCCTTTTTAATGTTTTAATAAAAACAGATAAGTGTTTCTATCTTATTTTTATTTCTGAAGACAATTGTAATTGCTTGCTATGTTGTAGGCACTGAAATGGTCATGGCCACTTTCCACTGCCTGCTTCCAATGATGGAATGCTTTACAGTATTGCAGTTTCAGCTGCAGGGAGATAATACTGATTAAAGTTGACTATATGTTAGAGGTGAGAGTGCGTTTCCAGTCACTGGGTAGACTACAAGACAGGACTGTGTCATTGCATTAAACTATTTTGTGCATAAAAATGTACAACTGAAACACCAAAGGAGGAAACATTTAGAGAATTACATATTTCATATGAGGGAATTCAGAGCTGAAGTCAGGGACCCCAGGACAGGCAAGATATTTGCAGTGTTCTTATTGGGTAGGTAGTTTGCTGCTTCATTATATGCCCATCTTTGGAGGACGTGGGTAGAAAATCAACAAACTGAAACAAAACCAGAAGAATTTGCCTGGAAAAAAATACTGGGATTTCCTGATGTTCTGGGCTGAGGGCAACAGCACTGATCTTCCTTGCTGACTGCTAATTGCACTGTCAGTGTGTATTTGAAATGGTAGCTTCTTTTTCCCCCCCTGTTGGTATCGGTTAGTATTTTGATAGTTCCAGGCCTTTTAAAATACTCCTTTAAGACAATTAAAGGCACCAAAAAATACTGCAATTACCACTATTGGTGTGTGCTTGTCCACATTAAAAACATAATAGAAAAAGGAAATGATATAATGGATTTTGTCTGTGTTTGGCACACATCAGTATGAGTCTAGGTAACAAATTAGATAATTGTGATGCTTCTGTGTGCGTGTCTTCATCAATGAATCTGTGGACACCATAGTGGATTGTCCTGGGAGTTGGTTGCTGGGTGAGAAAAAAATTGAAACCATATAATGCAGCCCTTTGGGGGCAAATCTGTTCTAATAAAGGAAAACTTGTTTTGTTTCCAGTCCAAGATAATTTCTTGCAAGTATGGTGTACTTTCTTCCTGGGGCAGCTGGCAGCTTGGGTTTAATTGTCTGAAGACTTTATTTGGGCTTTTGCATCAAATTTCCCGTTCTTGGGATAGTTCTGCACGACACTGGCTTGAGAAGCAGATAGTGTTTGAGCAGGTTACGAAGTAAACCACAAGAGCTATTTGCAGTTCAATGTTGCTGTGTTTTGAAAGAGCCAGAGATTTTTGCAATCTCTGTTTAGTTGTGACTAAATGTATAGTGTATAATGTACATGAGTATATATATAATATATACTCTAGTGGAATCAAAATGATATCTTTATACTGGAGAGTCTTACTGTAACAGGTATGGAACAAGGTTTTTTATGTAACAGTTTTTTTGGTTCCTAGAAATTCAAATGAAAAATAAGTCCTTATCATGAAGAAAAATATGCATGAATAAATGTATGTAGGGACAAAAGCATTTACCAAACACTAGTATGTTCTGAATAGTTTTCAGGTTGGATGCATTAAATGTTTTCCTTTTTAATGCTGCTGTATTTTCAGATCGTGCTAATTCTTTGCTTATTTTGCTCATTTTGCATTTTTCATTCCTTCTCCTCCTTTCCCTTATGTTTTAATCCTACCCCATTTTTTCACATGACAGGAAAAAGCCAGATCACATCAGGTACCAACCAGCTTCTTTTATACCTTCCCAATGTTTCTTTGGCACGCAAAAAGCTCTTAATTAACCCTGCATTTAATTTCGATTACTTGCAATGGATGTATAAGTGGCTCAGTCTAAGAAAATAACAGAAGGATTCTGCCTGGGATGCCAGTACACGTGCTGCTCAACACCTTTAAAAGAATTAGAAAGATTGAGCTAGTTGTAGCTAAAAAGGAATTAAAGTGGTTTCTGCACTCAAACTTCTGAGCATACAAGATCAGCGTTCTGACTTTTTCTAGTTGAAGTTGGTGAGAATTTGCTTATCAACTGCTTTGGAAATAGATGTAACTTTTAAATGTTGTGCATTCTCAATCACTGTTTTATTTGCGTGCTGATAGCAGCTAGCAAAGGCTGTTTCCTTTTGAGAATCAATAAGCACGATTCGTTTTTTGTGTAAAACTCAGTTTAATTTTTATTACCCTCTGTTCTCAGAAATGAGAAATGTTTTTCAATGACTTGTATTGTTACTTAACAAACGCTCTTTTAAATTGTGTC